GGCCCTGCATGTGGCAGGGGGGTTGGAGATTCATGATCCTTGAGGTCCCTTCCAACCCTGGCAACTCTGTGCTTGGTGAAGTCTTGGAAGTCTGTAAATTGGTGGTAAATGTAACACAAGCCCATCATTCATGGAGGGAAATAAAACACACTCGTTAGCGTTTGCCAAGCAAACCTTCTCAGGAAGTCACAAATGCCAGGCTTCAAGGTCAGCACTCAGCATAATAAAAAAAACAACAAAACTTATATCCATTTTATGGAACACGGGCATTTCTCAAAGTGATGCCAGTTTGAGTCTGTTAAGAAAGCAGTTACCTGTACATACGTGCATCTATGTCCATGCACATATGAATGCTATTGATCACATTTCAAAATGAGTAAGTTAACATTGAACTGTACAGCTCATTTCAAATATGTTAATTACACCCCTATGTGTCCCAGATACTGCTCCTCCAGGTACTTAAAAGGCAGAGAAGTCCCAATAATAAAGCCAGAGAATCTCTGCAGGACATTATTAAGACTGATCAAAGCCCAAATTTTATTTTCATTACTAAATAGCATTCGTATTTTATTTTCTTTCCCTTCATTTTAAGAGAATCGAACAAGAAATCCCCACACTCCATCGTCATCGCTTGCTTCTGCAGTCATACACATTGGCAGACTCTTCACTGAAAAGCCAAGTGACCAAAATGAAGACATCAATCTGCCACTACCACCTCTGAGAACCAGGGGAGGAGCAGTCAAGCTGCCAGTAAGGCGTTTCATCCCACCCACGATGGATCCCTCAAGTAAACACAGTAAAGGATCTGAAACCTGTTGGAGATTTACTGCTCTGAGTACTTATACTTTGCCCACAAAACCAGATATGGCACGGATGTTAGTATTATTCTGGTTGCATCCTAAAGAACACAGCCATCTCAAATTTAAATGACAGGTTATTTTAAAGACTTCATATCACCCCAAAATACATTTTCTGTCACACACACCGTTCTGACAGCTCCATCCCAATATCAAAACTTTCACTTCTACCCAAGTTCCTTTCACTCTTCCTGTAATGTTTTCTTCTCCCTCCATATCCTATTTCAGCAACAATAGCAAACTACACAAATATTCTTAACGTCCCTGTATTTCCACCCCACTTTTCCCTGACCCCCGCAACAGTTTGAAATACAACACATTTGTGAGCACACACTAACAAGATGAACATGTGAGCCTCCTTGACACCACTTCATGACTTTTGGATAGCCAACTAAATGGCTATCCAGAACCACAGGAAAGGACTGCACTGCTCAACAGTAACATGGTAAGCAAGAAAATAGCTCTAAACAGTGGATCCAGGTTCTGGGCTAAGCACACTATATGCATGACTTACATAAATCAATGATTGTGACCCCGGTGATCAAGACCTCAGTGAGTCAAAGCTGGTAAAAATGTATTAGTGAAAGCAGAGGTCGCTCCTTTTAACAGTCAAGTGAGGGAGATACATTTGCATACCATAACAAATAGGTTTAAAAATAAATAAATAAATTTGAATGACAGAAGATTCTCAAGCCGTAACAGGAGGTATAAGGGTAGCAAAAGTCAACTGCTCACAAGGACATGGGAAGTTAAATATACATTGGAACAGACCACAAGAGGGCTTCGTAAGTGCAGATACATTTTTTGTACTTGATGTAGTGGAAAACAGGGATCCCAAGAGCATCACTAAAGTCAGAAAGCTGACAGACAAGCACAGACCTGTTCCTGAATTTTCCTCAGTGGAAGAGCAGAAGCAAAATAAACAAATAAATAAATAAATAAAATAACCAACAACAAAAAAACCCAACTTGCAGTATGGTAAGTACACTTCCAGTATCTCCGTATCATTAATCTTCATCACCACTGCTGGCACTTTCTTCTCCTTTTTTCTATTTACTACCTTTTTCCCAATGACCACCTTACTGCAATCTGTGATAAAACCTTATGCTGCTCATATCTAAGCAAGACATCTATATTGGCCCGGGAGTTTAAATGCAAGCCTTCCATTAGAGGACAGGCGTAATTTTTCAAAAATGCTGTGCTGCAAACAGTGCAATAGCTGAAGAACGAGACGTAGCATTCCTTCCTTTGAAGGAAAAACTGTCAGACTTGCTCACTTCTGTAATTAAGAATGTTGCTTCCAATTCTGGTTAGAAAGTGCAGCTCTGTGGCTTTCTTTGATCTTCTCTGATGACAATGAAGACCTAGTAGACTCTCTAAAGCCCTTTTCATTAAATTTGTTTTATTCTTCAAAGAATGTTTTCCAGTCTCTCACATCTCTTTATATGAGAAGGTGTTTATGTCAAGCTGCAAGACACAATTAGAAAGCAAGTCAAGGTGCAAATGTCAGAACAGAAGTGGTTCTTTGCAGATACTAACGCATGCAGGCACTCACTTGAAAACCACCCAGAAATGGCAAAGCATGGAGACTTTGAGTCTCCAGCCCACACCCATAATCCTGAGCTTCAGAGCAACTCTCAGATCTCATTACTGTACATAAGGGCTAAAGACACTCAGAACAATTAATCCCAGAAGAAAACTTGCTTTGTATTGCAATGACTTCAGTTATCATTTCAAAGGTAACAAGTTTGAAGACAGATTACTAAACTTCAAGACCTTTTACTTAAGTGTAAAATAAATTTAGATTTTAATCTTAGAAATATTGCTAATTTCATGACCAGAAATTGTATGTACATACAGCCAGCAACTATGACTCGCTGTACCAGAACCCAGTCTCACAATCTTCTTACAAGAAACCAGAAGCATTTTGTTGGCATGGATGAAATGCTTCTCCAGGAAGAGAGGCTTAATTATTTAATGGAGCAAGCCAAAAGCCCTTGCATAAATAACTCTTCAGGACTTATTCCCTAACAAGAGCGTACTTACACCTTGGGCAGCTTGTAGACCTGGCAGCTTGTAGAGCTGGCAGCTGACATTTGTGGGGCAGATAAGATACCAGACCCTGCTTCCAGGATTGCTTGTGGCTTTTAGCCAATGCTCTAATGTAAAATGAGCAATGTATTTACACAGCCAGGGTCATGTAAAATTAGTGTAAATGCAGACAGATTAGTTCCCAACCCTAAAGTCTAGAGACTCACACCCCTTGTTTTCTCCTCTCCCTGACCATTTGAACTGACACTCCCCTTCCTTCACAGTGTTTCCCCTAAAACAAGAGGGAAGCGATGACCCTACAACTACTAACAGAGGAGCTAGGGACTGCTCTTAAGGAGATGGCAAATGCACATCAGGGGACCTCTGCCACATCTCAAGGACAAAACACTTACTGGCCATCCTACTCCAATTCTCCCTGGCCAGAACAGCAGGCCTTTTCTTCTCCTCCTCCTCCTCGGCCTGGGGGAAGAAACTATCACACACACACAAGTTTCCTTGCAATATATAATAATATGGAACAAAGTGACCAGCTGTAATACTACTGCTATCAATAACCAGGATTTCTTCAGGTGACCATCCAGAGACTCATCTTGATCTGGGGAGTCTCAGCCAGATGGTTCCTTTTATCTCTCTATTTCAGCTGCAAAACCCCAGTGCTTCCATGATAGGTTTCTAAAATGTGGGCATCGTGACCTTCAGTTTTACATTTAACAAACTAAGAACAGTACAGCAAAAACACCGTGCCAGTACATAATCCTTGTGCCACTGGCACTGTAATTTAGCAGTGATGACTCACACTGTTTTAGTGGGCATTGAATTTCTGTCAACATATGATTAGGAATAATGCAGTCTAACACAGGTCTGAACCTAATTTTCATGAAACAAGTATGTTGCACCTTTTCCACTAATATACATCATGAAGGATTACACTGTTTTAGCTTGATGGTTTTTTTCCTGCATCCTCAAGCAGATGATATCACAGTGCTGAATTTAAAGGTCCCAAACATGTCAAAGATGGAAAGAGAAGTCAATAATCCCATAATAATAGGAAATACTGGTGATAGGTGGATAGGTGGACTGGATGACCTTGGAGCTTTTCTCTAACTTCAGTGATTTTATGATTTTATGTTATTAATAAAACTTTTTTTTTTCCTTTT